CCGCCCACCTGGCTCTCTCTCTCCGCCCACCTGCTGCATCGACTGTCGTTCTGGTGGCCCTGATGTCACAGACTCCCCACCTGTCTCTCGCACACTAACCCCCCCTCGCCTGCCTCAGTACCTTCACAGGTTCCAGTGGTGTCACCTGAGTGAGCGCCTGGCGTACGAGCAGACTGTGAGACAGCAGCGCCTGCGGGTGGAGATCTCCCAGGCCAAGAAGGAGACCAACTTCTACCTGGCCAACGTGGAGCGGAGCCACAGCCTGGAGAAGCTGAAGAAGAGGAAGAAGAAGGAGGGTCAGAGCTTCCTGGAGAAGACCTGGGACTTCACCCAGCGGCCCACCGAGGACGAGATCCGGCAGAGGCGCCTGCTGAAACAGAACCAGCCCCGGGGCCGGTCCAAGAAGGAGCTGGCGAAGGCGCTGGAGAAAGCCCGGGCCATCCAGGAGAAATCCCAGTCCAACGTTTCCCTGCTGGCCAAGATCTTCAACACTGGGGCTTCCCAGGACAACTAGATAAGGTTCCCGGGCTGTACCGGTGCAGACCGTGCTTTCCGGGACATGTGAACATCGGTGAAAAATTTATCGGGTGGTTCACTGTGGTTCAGTGAACTGTCCTTGGGTCTCCTGGCACACCTGATCAATACTAATGCACAAGGAATTAGAGGAAGTTTTAATGTTGTTCCTGCTGACATCTGGAATGCAAACTGTGGCATCAGGGCCACCATAAGATAAATCCATTGTACTATTCCATCTGGGCAGTATATTGACTGCCCACACACAGACAGTTTAGATTTGGTTGAATATAAGGTGATTGTTTAGTCCAGAGAAAACAGTGTTTTTAAGTCCGAAGCTCAATAAGTGGCCACTCATCTGAGCTGCCGTGATCGCCTCTCGATCTGGCACACCTGGGATAGCTGGGCCTCATCCTTCTTCCGGAACGGGACGGCAGACAGCAGACCGCCTTGGAGACGAGAAGAGCGACAGGTTCTTGTTCGTGGTGAAGGCTGGGACCTGCGGTCTGTCTCCGCCGGCGGTTACCTTTCCCCTGTTGACCCGCTGAGGATTGGGATGTGTGACCCGCTGAGGATTGGGGAGGGGAGTGCATCTCCATTGGATCCTGCTTCCCGGATGTCCGATTTATCCGTTTCTCTCATCTGACCGGTGAGGGAAGCCGCAGACTGCAGGGAACCTCGGAAGGGTGTTCGAACCACACCGATGGACCTGGTTGGACAGCTCACCTGCCTTGGTCGAAGTTCTTTCATGCTCTCTTGCTGTTCTGACTTTATTGTAGCTCTCTTTGACATCCGGGGAGAAGTCTCTCAATAAACAGCCCAGTGTTGTGGTTCTGTCTCCCTGTGGCCCCTTGTGTTCAGATGAGAAACATAAACACTTGATTTACAGCAGGGTAGCCCACCTCAGTCCTGAGGGTCTGCTGTCCAGCAGGGTTTATGGGTCTCTTAAAATTTCAGCTTCTGCAGGACAAGGAAAGGGTTCGACTTGTGCGGCTAAGCTGATAATGAGTTTGGTCAGGTAATCGAGGGCTCAGGTGGAAAGAGACCCAGACCCCCCCTGGCTGTCCTGATTTGCAGGTACAGAATTCCAGACTCCAGTTTCCAAACTGGCTTTGTGATTTTTCCAAAATTCAGATGGCAAAATATCAGGGCTGTACGCTATAAATAACTTGCACATGAGATTAAAGATGTGAACAAATGCGCGCACAAGGAATATTCACACCCAACCGATATTTCTCAAGAAAGAGCTGGATGAGGTCCTCAGATCAATTATCTGCCAACTACTGAGGGACCTACATGTGCCAAATAGCTCCACTTGTTTTTAACCTTTGTTCTTATCTGATAATACTATTAATTAGTAACTAACAATTGCAACTCACACAAACTTTCAGATGTTCTTGTTGATTCTTGTTGGTGCAGTTGTTAACCCTTTATATGGTCCGTTTAGATAGATAGATACTTCATTGATCCCGTAGTTTATATCAGGATTGTAACAATATACTCTATATAACATCAGAACTCCTAAAATTATTTATAACAAATTATTTTAATGTGTTAACTTTGTATCGCAACATGTGCTGCACAGAGCCGGGTTTCTGTTTATGTTATTCAAAGGGATTGATTGCTCTGAAAGGTGTGAATTTTGGATGATCCTGAGCCCGTGTTGATTCTCAGCAGTGAGTCTCTGCAGGCTTCAGTCACTGAAACCCCTTAAAGAAGTCCAGGAGAGTCTATTGAGTTAATCTGAGTTTAGTCTGAGATTGTTATATTTCAGTGTATTTTAGGTCACTTTTCAGACCTGG